AATCCGGAGCTGCAGCAGGGATACCGCATCTTGCGCGAGTTTCTCACGGAGAAGTACCGACCTCTGACAGCACCGTTTTTGAAGCCCGTCGTGGATCAGGCATCCATCAGGGAAGAAGAAGCTGGCTCCCTCTCGGGTTATAACAGTAGTCACTCCTTTCAGCAGTCGCCAGCTGGAATGTGGTTGTTGAAGATGGAAGAGAAATTTTCCAGCGGGCAGTACACAGGAATAGCGGATTTCGTGGGTGACTTCCGGCTAATGTTGGAGACATGTTACCGGCTGCATGGTGTAGATCACTGGCTCTCCAGACAGGCCCAGAAGCTGGAGATGATGCTGGAACAGAAGCTGGCGCTGCTGTCCCGGTACGTGTAGAAAACTCTGTAGGGGCCCTGCCAGATGCTGTTTATGTAAAGTAGAATAGGGGGATGTGTTTCATTATGTAAAAAATACCATTTGAATGTTTTTTAAAAAAAACACGATAAAACATATTTGGCTCCCATTCAAATCCTTGAACTCTCAATACTTCTACAAAGAGGAACATTTCCTACTGGGAGCTATTAAAATCTTAATTCAAAATGCTTTGGAGATTCCAAACTCAAAAATAGCAAAATGCAAAATAGGGCATAGCATTTCCTGGCTAAGATTTTCCTTCTGAAAGAAGCCTTCTATGAACACGGAGGCACACTTGTTTAGACAAGATGTCAAATGCTGCTTTATTTTATGCTGTCAAAAGCAAGTGAAACTACCCATGATGAACATGAACAACTGGCACTTTAAAATTGTGATTTTTACAGTCTGTGAAATGTTTATTGTCTTTAAATTTCAGCCAAAGTACCTGCCTTGAAATGGGTAATTTAATGTCAGAGTATTTTTTGATAATCATAACATGAAAGATAATCCTTGGCATATTATAGTCTTGAATGACAAAATGGAAATTGTGATATGTTTAAATATAAGTCCCTGGCAGGAACTTGTTTATCAGCCAAAGCAGCTGAAGCATAGAAAGCTGTCAAGCTATATGGTAGAAAGCCCAGTGTAAATCACAGTTGGAAATACATACTTTCTCATGAGTTTGATGGAAGCTTAGTTTAGCCATATTCAGAAAACCAACGTGGCTTCTTGCAGTGAAAGGTCCACCAGTCTTACCAGTGACATAGTATTTTGCATGTAAAAACCAATAGGATTTTTTGGCAAAGGGTGAAGGTGAAGAAGGAACAGTATTAGGAAATGGGTAAAGCTGTGCATGTCCATCAACCTTAAACTTGCTAGTGACACAGAGCATTAGCAGCCAGCTGCTAGGAGCAACCTTGCTTGTGTGGTAGGAACGCTTGAGGAGCGTGCTGCAGAACTCAACTGAGTAAGCCAGAGTGAATGTGTTGGTGTAGCAACACTATGTTTGGAACAGGTTTTGCGCAACAGCAGCTTTGGGACAGTTCAGGAGTAGAAGGGAATGAGCTGGGCCTAATGGAGCATGAATGTTTCTTGTTTGCTTGACAAAAACTTGATTTAAAAAAAACAAAACAAAACACAGAATTCCTGGCTTAAAAGAGTTACTGCTGGTAAACACGTAGCTAACTGTAAATGCAGCTTGGAAGGTTTGTGCCAAGTTAATTTCTGTATGTGGTGTGACTGTAACATCTCAACTGTCTTGAATTGAAGGGCATTTTGTTGAAGGCTCTTTGATGAATTACATGACTACTCACTGGATTCGGTGGCACCTGAGAATGCTCAATGCTTTTTTATTAGAAACTCCATGAGAAAAGTTCATGTACTGTGTCATCAAATAGTAATATATGTATATACTAAAAAAAATTCAGTTGCTGTTGTTGTTATTTCACAAATGCAGTCTTTGTTCAAAAAAATATTATGAAATAATAAACTGGCTAAAAATAATCCTACTTCAGTATATAGTTAATTTCTCTTACATTAACTCTTCAGAGATCTGTAAAGTTTTTTTAGTATGTCTGTGTACACTAGTTTGGTAAACTATGTACAGAAGGGATTATGGAATCTAGAAGTCTCAAAGTTCTTTTACAATTTTTCATCAGACAAATTTGTTTTAAGTGTTTAACAGAACTAATTTTATTAATAAAATTAAATTCAAGAACTACTTCTTGGAATAATCATTCTTGCTTCATTACAGAGCAGTATCTAGGTCAATGATCTGCATCAAGTGACTTGAGGGAAGGCATCAATGTTGGTTGTATGGTTCTTAGATATAACAAGCCACAGAAAATTACTTTAGAATGGAGGTTGGTTTTTTCACCCTCCTCTCAAATGTTTTCAGAGGTTGTGTGATAGAGTCTTACTTCTCATTCCAGTTTTGCTGGAGTACTTTGAAACGATGTAAGATGAAATGTAATTTTACAATGAAATTTGTAGTGTCTTGCTTTTCATCTTTTTTAATTTTTAACAAAACTAAGCTGCTGTTTAACACATGCCCCCCCAACCCAAACCAACAAGAGCACATTGGGGGGTTTTTTCAGTATTTTTAGGTATCTCCTAAAAATGATAGTTTCTTATCTCAGGCCATGTGGAAGTATTCTCTTTCCAAATATTTATGGATTAATGTAGGAAATCAAATTTCCAAATAATATTTGGTTACTTGAGATGAATACCCACCATTTTTAACATATGTGAAAACATAGCTTTTGTTAGCTTGTTGGGTTTATGTTAAAAATTTTGTAAAGAAACTTTCAAAGTGGAGAAGGTGGCAGGTGAAAAATAACTTTTTCTGAGTAAATATGCTTGATCTGTCGCTGGTAGTGTAGGCATTGAAGTGCTGTTGGTAAGGGAAATTGTAATTGTGAATTGGCTTGCACTTTTTTCTAGGCATTTAAGAGAAAAAACATCAATAGCTGTAACATCTAGAGGATGCTGTGGGCTGGAAGATGAGAAAGGAGCAGCATGCATTTCAACAAGACGTCGTGCCACACCTCGCAATGTAGTAGGCTTGTCAACAGGCATGTTTGAGTCTGTGATGGTTCAAGTTCTAAGACAAGAGGAACAGCAGAGAGCAAAAGAGGAAAAGAGGTAATAGAAAAAACTATTGGTTTTGTTTTGAATAATTATGTCTTCCTAGTTCTCTATATGGGCTAGCTCCGTAAGGGTTTTTTACGCAAATAAATGTTGTGGTGCTCTTTGTCTTAAGTTCATGAATGAACCGAGGACTTCAATACAGTGCATCCACAAAGTGAGAAATTTGATTTACCACCTTCTTGAAAAATTGCTAATGTCATATGAGCTTTAAAATAAACTAAGGCTGCTGTTATTTTAGGACTGTGAAACTTCCAATAGTATCTGAAAGCATCCACAGCAATTTCCTGTTAGCTCAGTCATGGTTTATCATACCTCTCCTTGGACTGTTTTCGATGCAAGAACTAGATTAAAAACTACCAGAATGCTTAACTGCAGTCCAATTCTGTGATCTTGTCACTGCTTCCCTCATTTTTAGCCAGAAGCAAATGATCTCTGCCAGTGCTACTCCTGTTATCTCACTGATGTGGCATTTCAGCCTGTCAGTTAGTTAACAAATGTAGAATGTGTGTGTAACTAATTCTGTGGGATTTTGTGGCTTTCATAAATTCGAGAGGTATATAATTCCAGGCAGTGTTTAATGTTGATTGTGGTATGTTTCACTTCGAGGAAAATGAAGCTTATAAGCTTGTATAATTTAATAGTAACTGTGTCTGAACATTGAGCATGACGAGGAGACTGGTACTAACTTTAGGAAGCAAAATATTTCCAACTTTTTCAAAGTTCGCAGTTTTGAAGATTTTCCCGTATATAACCGGTTCACTCTCATTTTGCAGGTAATCTTCATTTTCAACAGATTTCAAGCCACACAGTTTTGGCTGACTAGAGTGTTAGCCAGTACTTTTTCCCTAGAAATGAGTGAATCTTTTTTCTTGTAATCCACCTCATACTTCACAAAGAAAGCAAAGATCACTAGGGTTATTGTTTCTCTGGTAAAATTCTCTTGATTTGTGTTCAGCTCTGTGTTCTAGATCTCTGAACTTGATAACACTGTTATTGAAAAGGACATTTTGATTGTCTTTTAATTCATCCATACAGTCAGTAGAACATATTAACCGATCAAATAAAAATGTTGCTTTCATACATCTGTTTTAAGCATGTTCCTGCAAAACTGTAGCAATTAACAGTTGAATCCATGTATCTGGATATACTCAAAAGTCCCAGAACCTGTGCCAGGGATACTCCATGGTGGTTGATTCTACAGACTGTTTTACAGTAGCAGAGGAAGATCGCAACTAGGTTGCCTCTTTACACCCTAAAATTTTGAACTACATCATTTATTAGGAAGCAATAAAAATGTGTCAGTAGATAGCTGGTTGAATATTTCTTGGACTCTATTGATCTTCTCATATAATCATGCTTCAGATACCTTCTTAACTTTTCTTATTTCCTAATGGATCCACCATGTTTTCAAAGTAACTTGGACCTCTCTATACCAATTGTTTCCCAACTTACCAAAATACAAATGTTCCAAAAGTACATAGTAGAGGTATTTTATGAAAAGGCTTGGAAATTGGAAGGCATATAAAATTAGTAATACATTACCAGTGGAGATCATATGATTCAGCATATATACATTTGTTTTATATATAAATGCACATGTGTGCAACACTGGATGGGACACTTTTTATTCAAAAATGTGTTACAATTTCCTCAACTTACTTTGGATTATTGCTACAATATAGATTATGTTGAATATATTGTTAATCTGTTAAGAGAGAACTGTTATTCAGCATCTTTTTTTTTTTTTTTTTTTTAGAAATCTGAGGTTGGCACAGAATAGAAACTTTCAAATCTGTATGCAAGATTCCAGACTTCAGTAGTTTAACTGGAGTGCACAGTGCCTTCCTTTTGGTAACCCCATTGCAGTATTCCTTAGAGCTACAGTCCTGGTCCATTGGCAGATGTGCATTTTTGTTACTGAATTTGGCTTTCACTCACTCTTCATTTTTTTGTAACAAAAATGAAATTTGATGAACTGGAATTGTGTTTATACCCGTTTAAACTTTACACTAAATCTGCAAGGAAAATTGCAGTAAAAATACGTGATCCTGAACTATTATCCACATCTTTTTCAGGTCACAAACTGTTAATTCCTATATATGCAGAATTCCTATTTATTTTAATGTATTCCAGTAGAATGCATGGTATAAACTATATTCTTAGAACTAAAGTGCTACTTTAGTTCATACAGATTATTTTATTGATTGTTTCAGTTAGTCTTTCATCACAGTTGTGAAAGAATGAGTGTCCAAATCTGTTGCTATACTACAGGCTATCTTGTGTCAAAGTGTAATTATGAACGACTATGATGGTCAGCTCAAATGAGTGGGTAAACTATTAAGGATTTTAGTTTCTACTGTACTGAACTCTACCTTCCTCCTGGTCTTGCTCTGCTGCTGTTTTCCCCCGTAGAATTGTGTGTCAGAGTGGTAGTGTAACTCGCTTGTGTGTTGGCAAATGAGTTGTGTTTGGATAGGCAGCACCTGCTGTTCACACAACTTGCAGATGAGCTATCAGGAACATTAAAAAGTGCTCACTTCCTGGCCATCCAGCTGATCACTCAGCATACATGTACTTTCTAGCTAGTAATTATCTTAGTTTAGACTACTCAGCCCCCTGACTAGAGTTACATACTTTCAGTCCCAGGTAGGTAAGGTTGCAAATGACACCACAAAACTTAGCCTTACAGCTAAAGAAACTGCCTGTTGAAGTCCAAGTGAATATCTAATCCTTTGCTTTAGATACTTTTGTAAGGCACAGGCCATCTTATGATGAGTAGAAAGAACTTCAGTAAATGAAATCTTTAAAATAGTTTTTGTTTTGTCTTCTTTTCCCAAATCCTTGAAATATATTTTACAAACTTTTTTTTCAATTGCATATTTTGGAAGAATATCCTGAAGTATGGTTTTTATCTTCTTTTCTGTAGTTAAATTCATGGAAATCCAAATTATTTCATTATGTTTGCTACGTATAGGTATCTTTTGTAGAGAGGTTTTTTTCCTTCTTGTAGTTTATCCATGTCTTAGACAATATATTTAATTTTTTTTTTTTATTTAATGTTTTGTAGTCTCCCCCAAGTGATACATTCATCATGGTAGAGTCAACATGTAAAAACTGAGAAGATGTCTTTGCAAGCTGATTTCACTATTTTGCAGCTAATAGTTTCTGTACAGCAGCAAAAGCACCTCCCCCCCCAAGTACATATATAACAACAGCTGATTTACTTTTCTTGACAGTCTTGTTTATAAGCTTTCCTTTTATTCAGTTGTTCATAATATTGAATATCTTTGGATTATTACCCTACATTTCCATGAGGTTCCACTCAGCTGCTTGATTACATGCTAATTAAGTAACATATCAATATACACATACTAACTTACATATTATTTAGCAATAAATAATTGTGGAATTATTATATAATTGGAAATGTGTGCCTATTTTGAGGCATTTAGATACTGAAACATAGAGGTAGATTACTACTGACATTTTTAAAACCACCAGTGAATGACAGGTAATTAACTGTTTGATTTCAATGGGAATTAAGTGTCTGTATGAGTTAGGTTTGTTGAAAGTTATGCTAGGCAGCTCTATGTCTGCCATTTCTGAAAACATTATCCTGCAGTAAGTTTCAGACATGTTCATTAAAACGTTTAAAGAATTCAATTCTATTGCAATCTAGTCAATTAAATTAGCAAATTGTAGAATGAGGTATGCTTATACAGTCAATTTTGCCTTTTATGAGGATGTTGTCGGCATGGAATTAATTGGGTCCTATGGAAAAATATATGTCATGATATGATGTAAGACATTACAGATACAGAATTAAGGTCACATGGACATCTCCAAATTTAATTTCTTCTGACTATTAAATCTTGATTTCATTTAGAATAATGAGTAATATTGCTATTTTGTACATAGTTTTCTAGTTTATTTTTTAAAATACAGTTTGTAGAAACAAGTTACTGTAGAACTGAAACAGTTTTCTCTACCTTGTCATCAGAGTTTTAATGCCTTACCTTTTACCTGTGAAAACTACTCAACAATTAAGTGGGCTAGAAGTGGTAGCTGGGGGAGGGGAAAGTATAATCTAGTCTTTGCCTCCTGTGCCCTCCAAATTAAATCTCTTATTGCAAGTGAGGAATTAGCTAGTGAGATGTCTGCTGTCTGAAGTGAGAAAATGCTAAAAAAAGTTGCAGTTATATCTGGACCCTTGTTTCAGGTTGTGTCTCTACTTGGGAGTGTGTCTGCTGAGTTTTAAGGTCAGGTGCCATGGTTTTATCTGTGCAAGAGCTGCAGAACAACTGCTGCAACCATGTTCTAGAAATGTTTGTCCTTTGTTGGTCTGGAAATGTCAGATTGACTTTAGAACAGCTTTCTGTTATTATTGTAAAGACATTACATCTGCAAACATATTCCTGATAAAAGTAGATAGAAGTATGAAACAACAGGGTTTTTTATAATTGCTGTCAGCATAAAAGCCAAATATGTTTGTCCAGAGAATTTCTCAGGATATTTGTTCTACTAAATATCAAATGTTTTTCTCTCTCTGTCTTTCTCCTTCCACTCCTGCTTCCTCACCCCACCTCCTCTCCTCTCTTCATCCCCATCCTCCCTCTCAAAAAAAAAAAAACATCCCAGGAAAAAACTATGCCCTCCAAAAGAAGGGCAGCTGGTAGGAACACCTCAATCATGAAGATATGAAAGTGTGCTGTTATTTACATTTTGTCTTTAATGTCTACTGAGAATGGAACAAGTACAGATAATGTGATAAAATGATAGCCTTAAAAAAACAAAGGAAAACTTTTTGCAAGTGAAACAACATACTTTTTTTCTTTTTAAAAATATCGTTAAAATAGTATAATGACTGTCATTTTATGAAGTGCAAGACAGGTGAAGCTAGGGTACTGTATTTATTTTGAGAATTCTCCCTTAAATTATTAATTGTTCATAAGTTGAAACTGATTGCAAAGATGATATTTTTAGATCATTTACAGCTTGTGTTTTTATTAAATAATACTGAAATGTGATTGTTTCTACAAATGCTCTATCTCACTGTCTGTCTATTCATATATAAGCTTATTTCCATACTATTTTAATAGAGTCCACATATTTTGGAGGCAGCAGGTTATTTGGAAGTATGTTTTACAGTCAGGAGGGGCGGGGGGGGATTCAGGAGTGCTTTGAAATTTATTTTTAAGAACACTTTTTACTTACTATTGTTTCTTCCTCTGCCCCGCTTGTAAATTATTTATTTTTCTTTATTATTTTCAGTCATTTTAGTTTATTATATTAATGCAATATTAACACATGGAAATAGAACAAAAGTCAGAATTTTAAAAATGTTTACTTTACCTATGCAAGTAGTATTGTTGAATTTTGGCTGGTTTATTCACCTAGAGTGGCAAATGCCATTTTGTCATTACACCACATTGATGATATGTTTAAATTAGTGCTGCAAAGTGGATATTTGTCTTTTAGATCCCATCCATTATATGGTTAAATTAATGCTGCATTGGGAGAGTGAAATTGAGACTTGACTGACTTTTTGCTTTTGCCTTTTAATTTTGTTTTACATGAAGCTATCTTTCTGCATTGATAGGAACATAAATAACAAGAAGGCATGTATGTGGTATTAAACATTTCTGTTCAAGTTATGGTAACAAGTCACTTGAAATTTAATTTAATTATAGAAGATAAAGCATTTACTGGAATTTTTCTTTATTATATGTCATTTTGCTTACACAGAGGATGCAAATTTTAAGTTTGTGGTCATGGCATATTTCTCCTGCATTGATACTAAAATGTGGGCTAAGCTAGGTTCGTTGCATTTTTTGACGTTACTGAGGTATCTGGTCAATACCTAATGCTTCAGATACACATTCTTCATGCTAGAAGCCACTACTAGCTTCATGTTGTTGAAAGAGAGATTTTAATATACCAATACTCTTTGGCTGAATTTGGAAAGCATGGATACTTTGAATGGATACATGGCATTTATTTACTACTTGTGTAAAAAGAAATATAATTTAAGGTTATCAATCTGGAAATAAGGACATGTAAATTCTACTAACTCGTCACATTAGTGATAGACACAGGTAATTGTTTCTGGCAATGGTCAGTGATAGAAACTTCTAAAGAAAAGATATGAGAAGCTTTGGATGAGCTCTAGAAAAATTTTCCTGTAAGTACAGCTGTGTCCTAATCCTATCTTTTGGAATCTGGTCATGCCTTGAGGTAAAAACGTTAGCTTTTGCAACATTTTGCAACAACCATTGCAACATTAAAGAAAAATCCCTCATGTTACTAGTAACTCTTGATATTCTTGTGATTCATGAAGATTTCCTATTTTTCACTTTGGAACTAAATTAACATGTCCTGTGTTCTGGGAAGTTAGATGGTAAGCTATGCATGATTGATTAACTGAAGTAGAAGCATTTCTTCCTCTTAAACTTGTTGCCTTTAAATTTCATGATGAATTTACAAATAAAAGTAAATGGAAGTTCCCAGTCTATCATACTAGCTTTGTATGTTTCTGTCATGTTTCTTCTTGCTAGTGTTTTGTGTAGAGTCCCAGATTTTTCAGAAGTTTTTACAGGCCTCTGATTACTGACAACCTCTTTCTCTGAACACCCACTATTTCTGCTCTATCCTTTTTTTAGATAGGGGGACCAGAACTGAATACAGTTTTTCAGGTGAGGGCAAACCATTTATTAATGGCATTTTATTTCTGGTGTTATTTTCCATCACATTCTTCATGCATCCTGGTAATTGTTTCCTTTTTGACCACCATTGCAAACCAACTAGTAACACGTCTATGGGTGGGAGGGAAAATAGCTTTTGTATGTGAATGAAGCACTTAACAGTTAGGCATGTATATTCGTGTACCAAGGAAGAGAGTTACAAGGTAGGTGACACAAGCCACAGGGCAACCATTTGAAAGCCAGACTTACCTGGAATTTGTTGTCAGAGATTTTTATATGGATGGCTTGTTGCAAATACTTAATCCTGACAAAAAGGGATTGGGGAAGGGAATATATTTAAAAAAGAAAAATCTAAACCACCCAGAATATTGATATCTGCCAGGTTGGGGTTTTTTCTTACCTTTTCCCCTTTTTTAAACTCGTGGTGATAGAAATAAAAGACTGTAATTTCCCATTTTGGTGCATTGATGCATTGTGTAATTCAAAGTAAGACAAACTGAATTAAAACTTTATGTACTCTGTTCTTTATTACTTCGATAAGTATGTTTGTCATGCTGCAGTTCTGATTTTTTTTTTTTTTTTTCTTCCTGGTGCCTTTTCTTTCACCTGATTCCTGAATTTTCATGAACTTTCTTTTAATAGGCTGAGAGAGCAAGAAAGAAAAGAAGCAGAAGAAGCTAGTCAGAAAGAAATAGAAGAGTGGGAAAAGTCACTTTTAGCTCAAGCAGCACCTACAAGGATGGAGACAATGTGGGAGATTCCAGCTATTGGTCATTTTCTTTGTTTAGCACAACAGATTTTAAATTTACCTGAAATAGTATTTTATGAATTGGAACGTTGTCTTCTGATGCCTCAGTGTAATGCTTTTTTATCTAAAATAATGACTTCTTTGTTAAGTCCTCCTCATCGCAGATCTACGTTACATCGCAGGCCTACCCTTTCTTACAGGACTTGGGAAGCAGCACTCAGACAGAAAGTACAACACTGGTATACTGTTGTAGGGCAGACTGACAATCCCAATAGCTCTGCAGAAAAACTTGGATTGTGTCCCCAGTTTTTCAGAGTGCTTGGAGAAGTCAATCCCTTGGCAGAAAAACCATTTCACGAGCTACCATTCTACCAAAAAGTGTGGCTGCTAAAAGGTCTCTGTGATTTTGTGTATGAAACACAAAAGGATGTTCAGGATGCAGTGCTAGGTCAGCCTATCCACGAATGCAGAGAAGTAATTCTTGGTTATGACTACTTGGAGAATGCATATGTTCATTTTCCACAGTTCTGTGGTGCAGATGTTCGGATTTACAAACAAAAACCTTTTCAGGCTCCTCAATTCCCATCTCCTCCCATCAAAGTTAAAAAAGTGTCACGTACTAAATTGGAGAAAGTAAAACATGAATATGTACGCAAAAGCAATGGGGAGGTCAGTTCTGGTGGTAGACAAGAGCTGCTACATCGTTCCAAGACAGAAGTAGAGAAAAGTATGGACTCCATTGTTATCTGTCCAGAAAAAAACCCACATTTAGGTAGCTTTAGGGTCACTGCAGAGGAGATTAAGATTAACTGTGAAATCAAGAGCTCAAGAGTCTGTGACATCAAAAAACCTGGTTGCTGTAAAGAGAACTTGAGGAATTTGATTAGTTCAGGAGAGATTGTTGGTATGGGTGATCACCCTAGTTCAAGAGAAGTAAGGGCTGTGGAGAATGGACAAGGTTGTGCTGAAATGGCCAGAGTAAAAGCTGAGATCAGTCCATTCAAGGAGAACACACTGAAAGCTTGCCAAATGCATGTCAATGGCACTCATAATGACAATCAAGACATAAATTGCCATGAATCTGCTAGAGCAACAATGCTAGAGAACTCACTGCGAAATAATAAGAAACTAAATAAGTTGCGGGCAAAAAAGAAGAAAAAGAAAAAAAAGAAGTTGAAGGATATTCTAAATGAAAATCTACAGAGAAAACTTGATGACTTGCAAAGAAAGCGTGAGATTCATCTTCATCCATTCAAATCTTATAAATCTGAGATCCAGAACAAGTTGTTTATAATTAAAAAGAAAGCAAAACACAAGAAGCACAAGTCTGGTAAGTTGACATTTTTACCTGCAGTAAAAACTAGGAGGATGCTGATTATTTTTTTTTTAATTGTTTTCTTAGCTTCACATTTTATTTTGTGAAACAGGACAGCCTTATTGCACTAGACTTTTCTGTTGTTAATTTTAGTGTGAAAGTTTTCCATTAAATAGCACAAGCATACAAAACAGGCTCATCAGATGATTAAACTATGATTTAGAGAACATAATTCATTGGAACAGTTTGTATGTTACAAAAAATATTTAGGAGAATGAGTCTTACTGACTGGTTAGCATGGAGAGTGTAGCTTGAAGTTGTTTTATGCTGTCTTATATCATAGCAAATGTGGACATATTTCTCCCCTTTCTGATTAATACCACCTTATCCAAATTAGAAAGAAACACAGAGTAATTACATGACATCATGAATCTAAAATCATTTCTACTGGAACTGTGCAGTCTTAGGTCACCAAACAGTACTCTTTGACTGTGGGCCTGACAACATTTCCGCTTAGTCCAACAATAAATAACTTCTGAAATACAGAAGTTACGCAGATGGCATTTTTATTACAGATGTGGGCAGCATCTAGTTAAGTGTTTCCGGCAGGTGATACACAATCCAGAGTTCTGTTAACTCACTGGAAAATTTTAAAACAATTTTAAAACAGTAAAGTTAGGAAGTCCTTAAGTCAGCTCAAACTGTCAGATATTTGTAGTATTTTTGATGTCACATGAAGCACCATAAAGCTTGATCTGCTATCCTTGTTGAGTCATGGGCTAAGCTATGTGTGCAAGATATTAGCAGACTGCTTCAAACATTACATTTTTTGAAGCAACCAGCTTATTTTCAGAAAAGTGTAGATTGACAGCTAAATACTGGATTTCAGATGAAAAGCAGAGAACCAAAACCAAAAATCTGTGTAACAAACTGTCTTCTAAAGGGTAAGAAAATTCAGAGATCTGATGTGAATGCATTTTACATAGAAGTTGAGTGGGAATTTAAAGCTAAGAAAACAAGTAATATTTAGATCCTAAACATTTGTGCAGAATACCCAAAGAACTGTCTTAACCATATAAATCACAAACTCCTCCCTCAAAAATTTCAATGCCCACATCTAAACATAAATTTTAGAGTTACACTTGAAATTTATATATGTAGTATTCAGCAAAACTAATGTATTTTACATTCACTTTTGTGAATGTTGTCTTTCCAAATGTATCACTGTTTTCATTCTCCTTAAAACCAAACAACAATGAAATTAATAATAACCCAAATTGCAAATAAGGTGTCTTTCATTTAGAGAACTATGGGGAAAAAAAGTTGGGGACTGATGTCCTTTATTTTTCTGTGAAAGTATTTAAAGTAGGTCACCATCTTCGTTGTAACCCTAATTTTGCAACGCATGCTTAAAAATCTATGTTCTATGAATTAAGCAATGCTCATAGAACAGCATGTGTCATTTTTTAGAAAGACAACCACTGTTAGCAAAACAGACTGGCAATATTTGAAAGTAGCTTTTGAAGTTAAGTTGATAAAGATGTTTACT